GAGAGAGCACTCTCAGAGGGGCAGTGAAGGCCAGGAAGGCGTGGCGCAATATGGTTCGGGGGGCCACGAAGAGTCGGACACGCCTTAACGAGTAAACAACAACAGGAGGTTGATGAGGCCTGTGAGATATATGTTGTTATGACAGTTGTCCTTGGCTACCACTATATGTATATTGTTACTGTCTGGGTTTTTTGTAGTTTTTAATCTTGTTAGCTGCCCAGAGTCACTAAAGTTGCAAGATGGGCATCCATATAAATTGCAATTAATGAATTAATTCCAGGCTTTAATTCATAGAAACCATATACAGTTAGCAGATCTTGTATATTTCTTCCATTCTTTTACAATAAATGAGATCAATGTATGATTTAATGTTTTCTTTGTAGGGGAAAACATGTTTTATCTTTAAGCTACTTTTGTACTATAATTTGCCCATAGCACACTATGAAACATATTTACGCCAAGGAAAAAGCCATCTTATTCATATAGTTACATTTGCAGTGGCAGGATTATCTTACATTTGCCCTGATAGAAAGAAACGTTACTTAAAGCAAAACAATAGCGGAGGAAGGTGGAGCACAGCTAAAAATATGCAAGCAAAAGACAGGGAGAAGCTGCGTACCAACATTTCAGTCTCACTGAGAGCAAGGACTCCAGAAAATTATGGAAATACTATGCTTGCTAAAGAAATTAATTCTGAGGAATGATTACTGCTAAAGAATACAATTATTTTAGGCAGAATTCCAGATTTAAATGTGTTTACTGGTGCTTGGCATGAATTTATCATGTGATGGTATTTCTACTACTTACTTATATGAAATAATAACTTTACCAGCTAAATATCTGTATCTAAAGTTACAGAATGGAGGGAAGAGATGATACACGTTCTATGTTAGGGATATGTGGTGAGCTGGAGCCTAACTTCTGGAAATTACCTGATCTTTCTCCAAATCAGAAGGAGAATTTAGAAAAACAGGTCTATTCTTCTGAAGTTTCAGGCCCATGAATTAGGACTTGACTGTATATCTTCAGCCCTAACTTTACATGTCTTAACAAGGCTGCTATGTTTAGACTTGGCAGAGACTTCTCAAACACTCAAGATAGAACATTTATTGCAGACTAGCCCAAAGCCATATAATATAGTTGATTAGCCTCTGTCCATGTGAGGGTGTAATTCACTGTTACATCTATGGCAATTTAAACTTTTTTTTTTTTTTGCTTTTCCCTGCCTTTTGCATTTTTCAACTAGACTCTTTGCCCTGCACTTTATAGCTTTGAAGCTAAACAGTTGAGACAACTGACATCTCTAGCCTGAGAATCACTGGCTCTTGGCTTGTCTCTCACACATAGTCTGGAACAGGAAAAAGAAAAACTGCTATAACCATTTTCATTTTTTACCGCAATGAAATAAAATTTGCAGTGGTATAAGGCAAATCATTTTATATTTCATAAGAACCAATGCAAAAATTTTCATGTGAAGCATTTGCATCAAGATGGATCCTCAGTAATTATAATAATTATAAATAAGAGTTTAATGAAGGAAAGCATGTTAGAAATACTTTGCAAGAGCAAAGAACCAGAACTTTCAGAAACTGGCTCCCAACAGAAGCAGATTACACATTGGATTAGATGGACCTTGCAGTGCAGGGTGATAATAAAGAAAATGCTGATTGGATACTGCTACATTACACAATCTAAATTTGCTAAATATTCAAAATATTTAGTTTTAAAATTACATTTTAAATAAGACAAACATTGAAATAATATTAGTCTAGTTCTTATCAGGTCACATCCAAGCAGAGTTCTAAATATTCCTGGTTGAGATACAGGTAAACAGTAATTGAACTCAAAAATGTTGCTGGTGCCACAAATCTCTGTGTTTTGTACCGCCAAATTATCCCAAGTTAGCTGATAGGATTTTGTCACAGTATTTTTCTCCTGTAGGGCCTGTAAAGCCAGAGCTCATGAGATGAGATTCAATTTCCAGGTGTGTAGTTGTAGCCAGTCTAGGTCTCCATAGAGGGTGGTTTTGTAAGCATATAATCCAGATGAGCACAAATTTGGACTCCCTGAGTCCTGAGGCAGCCCTTCACTTTGGTGAATACTCTTGGTGCTGAGGCCAATCCAAAAGGGAGTGCTTTACACTGGAACTGGTTGTTCCGTATGCAAATTTGATGAACTTCTAATATATGTGATCGGTATTTGTAGGTAGGCCGCTGACAGAGTCTCTGGAAGCCTTAATATAAATGAACAGTAACTACAACAATTCTGGTTGCTTAACAATTTAAACCAAAGTTGATTGTCTCAGTAAAACAAACAATGGACACATTTGAGATATACTGTAGATGGAATTTTTTACTAATATTAACAAAACTGGAATAACAGCTGCAAACCCTTTGAATTGGGACTAAAGAACCAAGGTGATGAGTTAGAGAAACTGGATATGGATTTAAAAATGAAATTGTAATCTATCTAAAATTTGAATTTAAGATTTAAAGGCTTTGAAGAAAATGCAAAAAAGGACATTAATACTGTTATAATTAAATGGCTTATAAGTTATCTACAAAATCTGGGATCTTCTACCACTGATGCAGAGAGGGTTCATAGGACCATGGTTCAAGATTTGCTGAGAATCATGATATAGAATTCATTTTGTAAAATATACTAAAAAAAAAAAGGAAGAGTTCATGCAAATTTGTGGAGAATCTTATAATTATATTGACTTGATTTTTCAGTTAAGACTGAGAAAAAGGAAGGCTTTAAGAATGCATACCTCTTCAATAGAGAAAAAATTGGGTAAAATAGTGATGGGGTGCTATGTTTAAATTTTAATGAGGGAAGAGTTCCTAATCTGAAATCTATTTTCCAGCATTTCAATTTAAACACACACAATATTTAATAATGGAAGATTTAAATAGACACCAAATAAAATGATAAAATATTAATGTAGGTGGTAAACTTTTAAGTCAAACTAAATTTTAGGAAAATTTGCAGTTGTAAAACATGTAGAATGTTTTAATGCTGAATAGATTTACTCTTACTCCTATACTAGTATATCCTCTGGTTTTCAACAAAGGGAGTAAAACACATTGGCTGGACAGAGAAAGGTCTATATTATATAAATAAATCCTCAATTGTTGGGGATCAGTTCAAATACCAGCAACTAATGCTGCAAGACATATATAAAAAATATTAAGTCACATTTATATTCTGATACATCTACCTAAAGAAAGCTTATATTATGGGATAATCCCAGTTTGAAAGTAGCATCTAAATCTTAATTTGGGGTAAACTGAGCCTCTCACAATACTACTTTGGGTCAACTTAAGTCTTACAAAAGCTGCTCTATCCTGGTTAGAAATTATGAGTTGCATTAAACAATGTGAAATTAATTTGCTAGTATCTTAAAATGATATTAATATAACAGTTGTTTCATTTATGCTAGATGCTCATTAAATGTTGGTTACAATTATCCTGCTGTTGAAGATATAATTCAATAATTAATACAAGATCTCTGGGTGAATCTTCTTTTATTGTTGCATTTGGGGATGACATCAACAGGATTGTTTATATCATTGCCAAATCACTGTATGTTCTTGGTTATATACCCAGTATTTGGAATCTACCAAAATAGCAAGAATTGTGGATTTGAGGGACACGGAGGTTGGCTAAAAGAGTTATTATACAATAATGGCAAAAAATCTACACCTGATTTTCAGCAATGGATTGTTGCTATGTAGTATTTGTCAACATTTGAACTAGGGTGTTTGAGGTTTTTTTAAAAAAAATAAGGAAGGAATAGGGGACAAATAAGGTGACAAGCAAAATGATAAACATTTTTGAAGTTCTAACATGCTCCCTTTTCTGGTTGTGAAACTTCTTTAATGTTGTATGTATTTGCAATTTTAGTTGTTGAGCAAAAAAATATAAACAAGAACATAACTTATATTTCTACTATTATTATTTCAAGATAGATGAAACATTCAGCTGTTATTTTACATTGTGTTCTTTTTAAGCACATAGATTTCAGAAGTTCTTAAATTAGATAGTATGCAACTTGGAATAAAATTATTTGATCCATAATGGGCACCAGTTCAAGTTCTTATTGCATCATGAAATTCACTGTATCTCACAGGGATGTTTCCAAAACATGGTATCTGTGTTAAGCAATTAATGCAGACTGCTTAACTTGCATGAACCTAGCAATTATGGTTTAGTGTGCTGTAAACCCAGCCAATTATAGTTTATTTAACCAATTTGGTTAAATAAACCATAGCTTAGCACAGTGTACAAGCTAAGTCACACAAGATGCTTTCCAATAGAGCAGAATAAATCAGATGGAAAACAGTTCCATTAAACACTCTGTTCAAATGTTCTCACTTTCACTATTACTGTATAAACATACAGAACTTTTGATCAAATTTTCTTGTCTTGAATACATTAAGAAAAGCACAACTTTATTATTTTACTTGTTTTATAAATGGTAAAGTTGGAAAGGTAACAGTCCACAAAAAAGTAATTTGTTCCAAAAACTAAGTACCTTTATTGAAATAAAACATCACCTTCAGGTTATATTTCAGCAATTCTAAACACAGATGTAGTTAAAATTATTCATACTCTGCTGTCAGCAGCCATTCCAGATTTGTTGTTTTACATGTCCCCTTTTGCAACAACATAAACAATGAAACTGGAAGTTCTATATACTGGCTTCTCAATTTGCAGTCAGCCCAAGGAACTTGGAGGTTTTATTGCTTTTGTCTGACATTTTAATCTTCAGTCATCTTTGTCCGACCTTTGAATCTATTCATAACTTGTAAAACTCCAAAATAATCATAAAGGACATCAACCATTTTTGCAGGAAGGATGCTAAAAAGAGAAGAACACAAGCCACTTTATGTTAAACTTTGAGATATTATCAGTTTTGCTACATTAGTGTTATCCCAGTTTTCCTCTAAAATATGCATTTAGAAGCTAAACTTTAAGACCAAATGCAAAAGAAATAATATAAAATTAAATCTGATAACATAGCAGAAAACTAAAATGGTAGGCAGCACATAATCTGTAGAAGCTAATAAAAAGCTTCTCTCAATCATGTTAAACAGGTGACAGAGAATAAGTAAAGAGAACCAATTGAATCCTCTTTGGGAAAGATGTCTACAACTCAGATGTGGGCGTACACACATGCAAACTCTCCTTATGTATCCTAAACAAACTTTGATCTGCTATTGATGAAACACAGAAATCATTTGGATATTGGCAGGCTATGTCATCTGGCTATCGCAATTTGCTTTGAGATGTAAAAATGCAGAGTATATAAAACCATCTAACCACTCTTCTATTTCGATCCACAAATAAAAATACACTGATGTGTAATAATACTTCTCTGGATCCATGCCAGCACTAGCTTTTGACACATTACAAACCACTGCATCTCTGTGTCTACTATAAATAGGATCCAAGCATCCCTTCTTGCAATTTGTTTGGAAGCAAACAAACCTTTTCCACTTCCTCATCCTTCAAATGAATGTGTAGTCCTTTCTGTCCTTATGTTTTATATACACGATATAGTACTGGTTGAACTGTGTGCTTTATTCCCTTTGGGGAACAGCATCCCCTTTATCCAGAAATGTTAACCTTATTCCAGGGCTGAATTTACAGTAAAATTCATTTAGGGTCTGTCTCAGACAGAAAACAGCCTTTCTGAGTACAAGCCTAGAAGGAATCTTGTCCACTGCTGGGTTATGACTGGAAGGAAGATCCTGCTGTAGGCTTTTGATCTCTAAAAGTAACTCCCTCCCCAACAGCCAGCCCCTTCTTCAACTTATCAGGACTTTGGGCAATACCAGAAGGTGACCACAGTTTAATATTGCTCCAATTCTTCCATTTGCTCTGCGCTATGCAGGATACTGCCCATGTTATGCTGATGCAAGCAGTAAAAGTGTCTCTAACAATAACCTAACCATGATGGGATATCTGAACTTCTGTGCATTGCTACTGGCTAGAAATGATTCCACTTTAAAGATGTTTGCCATACTTTTAACCCTCTTGCACCCACCAGGTTTCTTGTTCCTCCTAGTTTTTTTAAATAAAAAAAAAAACCAGTTAAAATGGGATCATATACTGCAAAACAAAGTACCTATTTCAACAACATATTCATTTCTAAATATGGCTCTGAGCCCATCTTTTTTATATTACTGGTAAAGGAAAATGAGTGGCTGCAAACCAGTGCTTACGTCTGCCACCCAAAAGGGCAAAAATAAATGTAAGCAGCATGATGGATTCTGCAAGAAGAGAGACTGAAGCTTTGAGAGAGGGAGACAGCATCTTATAAATCTGTTTCATGGCTGGATACATCTCCTACAGCAGCCTCCTTTGAATGGGCAGGCTTCTGGACAGTCCTTTCCTAAGGGAATTCCCATTAAGTTCTCATTGGTGGCCCCGTTGTTACACATTTCAATATTCTGCAAAACTGTTCTGCTCTATTTAAGTGCTGATAGATGGAATATTAAATTCAAATTTATTCTTTCTTTAAAACAACAACAAAAATAGAAAAGAACACTGATGGCTCCTGACCTTGGTACATAATAATAGGCGGAGCCAGTCTGGGGTATGTGACAAAGCCTCCCCTGCCCCTTTCAAAACAAAGACTGGTGAATACCACTTCAAGTTAAAGGGATCTTTTTCCCAAGGACTGATGGCACACCTGAAGAATATAAAGACAGGAATTTGACACTTTGCCTGCCACACACTTCTTTGCCACGTTTTCCCCTAAAGGTACCACTCTGCCACATTTCAGATATCAAGTTCCTTCCTTCTTTGTGCCATTTGATGGAAATATATATAACATTATTTTTTTGAAAAAAGCAATGGGAAATCAATCAACTATAGGTTAATTGATCACCTTATTTTCTGTATTTTTATATGGACCTGAAGATCAACTTAGGAATCTCTGCACTAAAAGAGAAATCTTGGTGTGGCTCTAGCCTGCCACCTTCTTTCAGAATAGAAATAGAATACACAATTTGGGAATTTCTCTATACTATCACCTGTCTGTTTGTTCTTTAATGCTTCTTTCTTGACACACCTGTTTTCAATTAGTTTCAGGCTGAATATTCTTACCTTTTCATTACATTACAGAAGTATAGAACTCGTGGCATCAAGATATAGCGTTCATTTCGGAGTATCCCAGACACAATTCTTTCAGCAGCATATTCTGGATTTATAATGGGCAGCAAACAAGGCCACCTGATAGATCAAAAGAACACCATGTCGCATTACATTTTTGGGGAATCACCTTTGCAATGATAGTAACTGAAGCTTAAACAAAGCAATCCATCACTATGCTTGGAACCAGCACCAACCAAACTGATGAACACATGCTCGCTCTCTCGCTTTCTCCATAACCCCCAATGCCCTCTCTTGCTTATGCCCTTTTTCTTTTCTATGTATATGTAATAGTAATATGTTCACATTTAGTATTTTACAATAAATAGTATTCCAGAGCAAAATGTATTTTGGTTAGAGAATAAACAATTGCATATGTGAGTTAACAATGGGGAGATTCTTTGGACAATCAACATTTATTAAATTTTCATGTTTCATCCTAATAATCTTGTCATCTGTATTTGCCTTCTCTATAAAAGAGTTTCGAGCAATGGTAATTTATACAGATAATTCCCC